CCCCAAAACCCCAAAACCCCAAAACCCCAAAACCCCTAAAAATTAATTTTACATTGAAATTGAATTAAGTAAAGACTCTTCTTCTGAATCTATTCTGTTTCTTCCTCTAATTAAAGGATCATATGCTTCATTCTTATAAAGCTCTCTTATTTCATGAAGTTCTAGCCCATAAGTCTCTTTAACATTTAAAAGTATCATGACGAATCCAAACATTAATATTCCACTGAAGATAAAGAACAGAACTGAAAAGTTTAAACCAGGATAAAAATCCTTATCTTCTACATACGTGTCCTCAATTGGTGTGATTTTTAGAGCAGGTAAAACCCCAATTATGATGATTAAGGCCCAGTTGAGAGATATAGCTATTCCCATTCCTCTTTCAGTCAATATTTCAGCTATATCATTATCCAAGTAATTGGTCCAATAGTGAGAGCAAAAGAGATGAGAAATAGTGTTGTGAAGATAATAAAAACAGAACGATCAACATTTCTTATAGTTCTTATGTGACAGGATGTTGGGTCATCGGCTATGTCGGACTTTGGTCACCATTTTTCATAATGAGGAGCAGAGAACACGAACAAAGTTGAAGAACACACAATCAGTCATATTAACCCGATTAGTAATCGGCTTTTGAATGGGAACTTTAACATAGTTGCGATAATAGTACATAGGAAATTTATGAAACCAAGGATCATAGGGATGTATCCAAAGTAGACATTATTTTCCTTATTGAAAATCTCCCCTGAATAGAAGATGATAATGTTTATCCCAGAGAGCTGTTGTAGCATCGATAGTATTCAGCCTACTATAAGAAAGACCTCCAATATTTTGGCTTGAAGATAGAAGAAAACTTTCGACCATCCCAGTTTTGATTGTATTTGTTGAGAGAAACTGGGTCTATAGTATTTATTTCAAGAGCGTTCGAGTTATCTGTGTAGATGGAATGTCCTGCGTTTGATTCCTCCTTTGCCTCGTTTCTCTCAAGAATATCTTGAATTAAAGTCTGAGCTACATCATATTCTTCTTTAATAATGTAATATTTTGGAGCTTCGTACTTGAACTTCCATTTTAACAAGGCCGTCTGCAATAGGCAGAATAAGATTGGAAACAAGTACAAAATGGTGAAGTTTGTTTTTACTGCTTTGTTACCCTTATTCTCTTCAAATGGAGGGACTTCATTAAAAAAGCACATTATTTTTCTAGAAGATAGATTAGAAATAGGCATCAACAGAATTACTTACGCAACAATGTATGAAATAAAAATTCCTCCAGTGATGCCGATTTGGGTAGCGATTCCATAAGACCCCTTCCTCTTCGTCGGTGAGATTTCATTAATAAACATTGGAACAATAACTGAAAAGATGCCAACTCCGAGGCCATTTACAAATCTTCCTGCTAGAGTTGCATACTGGATATGAATCGCATTAATACCTCGCCCTACCATTCAGAAGATATTTGCTATAAATAAGGCCTTTCTATAAGAAAAATGATGAGAGGATTGCATAAGTTAGCTTAAAGTAGAGCAAAAAGATCTTCGTGAAGAAGATCATGAACCTAACCCACTAATTTCTTAAGTTATCCCTTCTCAAAAGCCTATAAAGCAATGCAATGCCCTTAATCCCTCCATAGCATTCCTTTTATACTTTCCCAAATGCATGGATTATAAAAGGCTCCTTTTAGCTTTAAGAAAAGAGGACTTTCGCCCAACAAATACTGCATGCCCCTACACAAATTATAGTTATCTGTCTGCTTCCAAGCATCAGTAAAATATATTAGTACGAAAAGAGGCTGGATTAGTCAGAAAATTTAGAGCCCCTCTTTATCTGTCGCGATTCAGATAGACCAGGCAAGGAATAAAAGTCTTAATAGAGCCAGGGTGGAAGTAAAAACTCTGTAATAAGCACAAGAAAAACAATAGAGATGCTCTTTCAGTGAGTTAAGCTATTATGTAAATAACAAGTCTTACCTGAGACTAAGAAAGGTTCCAGAATAGATAGAACTGAAGATAGCGCCTAATGGAACCATTCAGGTGGATATGTACATAAAGAAATAATCATAGCTATAGACATCAGTATCATTGCTGCAAGGGTTTACTTTATCTCCATGTTGAAATCATCTCATACAGGTTGGCTTTAGGTCAAAGGTGTTAAGTTCTCCCATTGAATATCCGTATTGAATACCCCCGAGAGCAATGGTAGCAATCCAAAGCCGGAGATAGTTTCTTTTCTGGTTGATATTCATCTTTATTTATTATTGCTAAATTCCAATACCTTTATAACATGTTGGGGTTTTGGGGTTTTGGGGTTTTGGGGTTTTGGGG